CTCTTATCTTTCAACTCTCTCAATTAGCATTAAATAATATTACACTATCTAACCTCTCTTTAAACTCACATCACTCAAATTTTCTCCTTAATACCTCTTTAATTTATGATATACTTCCTCCAAGCCTATATACTTCCACAATTAATAGTTTGAGAAACAATCATCTGCTTTTTATTGAACAAATTATGACTGCAAATAATAAATTTATTCTACCATGGAATAACATTTACTTACGCACAAATAAATCTACTAAACATCAACCCTTATGGTTTACTAACATTTTTCAATTAATTCAAAATAATACAATTACAACAACTTGACCCTCCTTGCAACTACCTTCGATTAACTCTTTTATTAATACAACTAATCTTATCTCCTCACCATTTTCCTCTAACTCTTCTACAATTCAACATCTACATATTAATAGCCACAATAATCTCTTTCTTACTTATCAATCACCCACGTCCACAACTACAGTATTTAAACTAATTTCTACCAATACTGGATGTATACAATTACTACCAACTGTCCCATCTTCTCTTTATACACTCTTTTCATTTAATCTTTCCTATAATATAACAAACAAATTAAACAACCCACTTTTTATTCAGATTGACTACAAAGAAATTTTGTCTCTAATTGATATAGTTAATATTACTAAAAATATACACCCTTCTCAAATAATTCCTCAAATTAACATACTTATACAGAAAATTCAACTAATATATCATTTAGTTAGCTCAATGACTTACTAACAACAACTTACAAATCTTTTTTCACTTATTCAAAATCTTGACTCTTATGACCTTCACTTTTATACTGATGCATCAGTTCAAAATCTACAATCACCAAACATCAAAGCTGGTATAGACTAGGTTTGTGATAGGGATTGAAACCGTTATTCGTTTAACCGCCTAAATCATTTATTTATGTTATATAGTTAAATGAGTAAACAATTTTATAAATAGTTAAAAACCGTTAAATTATTTGCTTAACCATTTTTTAAATTTTATATGATTAATCATTTAATAATCATTTAATGCTTCATGTGGAGACAAACAAATATGCACATGATATATAGTATCTTGTGATCCCATAGAAATTCGTCTCTGAATTTTATACAGATAACTAATTCTTAGAAGTAAACCATTCTACTATTCTCATATTCTGTAGCTTTAAGTTGAATTATTTAAAGCAATCATCAATGTATATGTATTTATTTTCATTTGTTCATTTATTTGCAATTTTCATTTTCGTAATTTATCTTAAAACCTAATTCATCAAATGCAAATGCCAACATGTATTTATTATCTTTCGACCATCTAATTGTACATAATTTTTAAACTTAAATACTTCATAAATTTACAACCCAATGCTTAATAAATATGCAATAAATATACAATAAATAATTTAAATAAAACTATTTACTTTCTTTAGGAAATCTGATGAATTCCGAGAACTACAATGTTTTTTAAGATCTACTAGATACGATGGTATACATGACTATGTATATGCTTTATTTTCATATGCTGTCTAATCAGATTGCTGAAAATATTTCACCTAATTTATCAAAAGGAGTCTATTCAACCATAAGTCGAAATTCTTTAATGTAATCATCAACGTTCTTATTTCTACTTACCCAACTATCTGAGTATCAAACATCTAGTACCAGGTTTTAAGTGTAATAATGAGTTACACTTAGCGCATTTTCATTTTTAAAAAAATTTATCCAATACTAGCATACATTCAGTGATGATTATACATCTTATTTTATTCTTTCTAATTCTCTTAGAACCGCTTGTCTAACACCAGGCTTTAAATAAAAATACTAGTGCTCATTTTTACAAGTAGTACAACCTCCCAAAAAATTTAGATTAAACACTGAGATCGGATCAGGTAGGGTTTATGATTAGAATAAGTAAAATTTCTCATTTTTAATTGGTGCTATTTTCATAAACTAGGCCTGATCTTCAATTTAAACATCTATAATAATTATATGTTTAAGTAGAAGGTATAGTACAATACCATTCACACTTACGGCATTTCACCCAACTCACAAACTTCATAAAAATTATCAAGAGCGAAGACTTAATATACCAGTTTCAGATGTCAATGCTGAATGATCCAGAGTGTGTAGTCAAGGCTTTATGATTTCAAGTACAGTAGCTTCTTTTATGATAATATTACTGTGACATAAATGTGACTAACTTATTTTCAAAAAGTTATATTATTCACCAACTATGAGTAGATTATCTTTGTCATCTAAGAGATCCAAGTGGAAAGTGTATAATTAGTTTCAGCACAAATATTCTCACGAATGACTATGCCAAAGCAGCTTTATCTTCAAAGCCAGAGATGTTAATTTGTCATTCACCTGACATTTGCGTGCTAGGAAATGACCACTTCAGCGAACTTGCAATTAGTAGTGCTGTTGCTCCGTCCATATCAAGTGATGAACGTAAAATTGTTACTTACCTAAATAAAAGTGGAGATGTTATAAATATACAATGATAAGAAGAGTGAAGCATAAGCAATACGAAAAACGAGAAATGATGATAACATATAACATAAAAATTCTTTCCTAAAATTTATGATTATCCAATTCATAGTATAGAGATGATGAATTTTGATTTTATATTATCGATCGTTCATGATCTTTCGTATTCGGCCTTTTTTTCATATTTTTTGAATAAAATCGAGTTCTGAATTTAATGATTAGTGCATTAGATTTTAGTTAGGATTAAACACATTAATAAAAAGTTTAGTGATCAATAAA